AGTATTTTAATATAAATAGTGTCCGTACAGAATAATTTTATGCGGGTATAACATTTTTAGGTATTTTATCCTGATTACCCAAAATTCAATTAAATGAGAACAATGTTTTTCATTTAGTTTAACAAAAGAGTTTCGCATCCTGTATTTCTGCCAATAATCCTGTCATTTCAAATTTAATGTTATTTTTAGTAGCCTTAATTTAAGCCATAATGAACGCAATTATTGAAAGGATATTAATTTTATTGTTCAATTTTATTTGATGTAAACATTAAATCGACTGATTGCCTCTATTCAAATAATTTCAGAGACAAATTAACGAAAAAAGATGCTTTCAATTGCGAATATATGAGAGGGTGGAGTTTTCTAAAGAAAAACTTTTTTTATTTATATTTTTTTTGTATTTAATATCATATTCAATTAGTTATTCTTTTTTAATATTAAGTAATATTTTAAAAAAAATTTTTTTTTGCAAGTTTGCATTATCAATTAGCACCAAAGACTTACAATGGACGTAGTATTTTGCTCCAGTGGGAGTTAAGAAGTTTGTCAGATGAATTCTATACTATATAGTATCGAGTAGTACGTAGTATGTATCTATGCATGGATATATTGTTTTTTTCGAAGCAATTATTTTTTAAATTGTATCATAAGTATCTTAGATTGTCTATGACTCCAACTCTGAGAAGTCGCAGAGAGTTAATTGCCATTACCTAAATACCATGCACAATCATGTCTACTTCTTCGTGGGATTACAAACAGTTGATTGCGATTTCTGAAATACCATGGATACAGCATGTCTCCTACTCGAAAGGTTTACAAAGAGTTGATTATGATTATTCAAATACACTGCACGGACCATATCTTCAACTCCAATGGGTTACAAAAAGTTAATTACGATTGCTCAAATACACTGGAGCACTATATCTTCTATCCCTAAAGGTTAAAAAGGGCTGCTTTTAACATGCATCAAAAGCTTTTAACATGCATCAAAAGTAGAAAAATACCATATCCAGGTCTTAATTTTCGTAACATGAAGTCTAACTTCTTCGATATCGATACTACAGGAAAATAACGAAGGTGAACGAAGCAATTCAATATAGTTATCACTGCAGAGGAATATAAGGTATTAAATTGAATCGTAGAATATGGGTAAGCTTTTGAAAATTACTAAAAATAGAGATAATATATCAACTGTTATTAAAAAACTGCATAATTATGTATTTCTTTTGTTTATGTTTATTAATGGTATATAACATATGTCCATTAATATTCGATAGCGATTTGCAATTAAAAACGAATGTAAAGGTCATTGTATTATACATGTGTGTTAGTATTCGATTCTTCGGAAACTAGTTTTATTTTTTCCGGAAAGAAAGCTTTATTGTATTTTTTACAGCCAACTTCTTACTTAAGCAGCGGAAACATTATATTAACTTACCATTCAAATGTGTGGTAATTTGGTAATTTTTTCTTTGTTCTTAAAATGAATAATAAAACTTTTTATCGATGAATTGGAAAAGAATCATGTGAAGAAACTATAATTACAAATATCACATTATATATATTTCCAAAGCTAATAGTTTTAGGTTTCAGTTGGATGGCGTCATCATCAGTAAGCTGTAGCTAGAGTAAACACATTGACCATAGACGAGTTTATATATCATGAATAAGTATTTAGAATGCGGTTATAAACTGATGTCTGTCGGACCATTATAGTTATTAGAAAGCTAACATATATTGTCTGTGGATATGCCATGTGAAGGCCTATTTAAAACATAGTTGCGGTGACAGTTTGGTCTCAAAGAAAATAAAGTCCCGATATAAAGAGTGATTAGCTCTTATTTATACTCTATCACACTAGTGTTGATATTGAGGTCGATATAATAGTGACGCAAATCTATAGAATAACGTATACGATAGTTCTTCTTCTTCTTACACTGCCTACTCATTTTGAGTGTTAGCGGTCGCATTTATTAACAATAAGGTTATTTCCAAGTAATTTTAAACTTAAATTTTCAGTATTACAATTTCTTTAATAATACTTATAGCTAATCATTAAAGGTAACATTTAACTTTTAGCATTCAACTACATTAAACTACAATATATACTATCGCTGTGTAAAGCTCTCTCGATCGCGCAGAGTGTATTAATTTGCCAATAGTTCGAAGTCCTGTCCAGGTGCGGATATTCCTTAACCATGAATGTTGTTTCCGCTCAACGCCTCTGCGACCTTCTATACGGCCTTGAAGTATAAGTAAATCTACAAGCTATTAATTTTTGTTTAATATAAGATATATTTTAAAATTTCCTTCACTTTTGCGCTTTTTTTTTCATTAGGTGAGATTTTCAAAACCATTTTATACTTTTATTTTACATTTAATATGTGTTTACGATACTCAAACGCAAAGCAACTAAAGTGCGATAATTCAGTTCCATGGGGAACGATTTTTCTATTTCATTGTGCAGACAGCAGCTCTAGAATTAATACACACATTAGTGACTAGCAAAGGATGTGAATAGCACAAATCTTAATAAAAAATAATTGCAATAACCTTCTGCGATGAAGCACATCAAGGACTCTTGCGTACTTCAAAACCAAATCTACTTCAAAACCAAATCTGTTGCTTTAGTAGCTGCGAAGTGAATTACTTCAAGCAGGAAATCCTTTAACATTTCGCAACTGAGGATATACAATCTTGTCAAAATAAGACATTAAGTAATTTTTTTCCCAGTGCACAGCACATTGTTTTTGGTGTGTTTAATATGTAAAATAATTTAGAGAAACTCAAATGTGGATTTTTCTTTAACTTCAAAGTAGAAAAAAGCAATAAAGGATCAAATAAGCAGGATATGAAATGTTGGGGAGAATGTGTTTCGGTTGGCGGAATGAACCATTCCCTGCTGCAGTGCTGAACGAGTTGCTTTGCATAATGCAGTTCTTTCAAGTTGTGTGCATTCTCTACTTTTATGGAAAATATTTCACTGCCATTTGCAGTGACTTTTATTATTTTCGACTTGCATTGCCATTTGCTTGCCTATAACACGATAATGTTTTGACCTAATTTCCAACACTGCCTCAGTGCCTCAGCTTTTGTTTACGGATTCATGGAGTTCATTTGTACTGGAATTTAATATAAATACGATTGAAAGCCGATTTTTGCTGCTATTGTTGTTGTCATCTTGCTTTGACATTTAAGCACCTAACGACTTACAGTAATTACAGCTCTCCTGCTTCTATTCCTAAACTTATTCGTAGTCTTGTATGTTTCGGCTTTCCGAAAACAGTGTCCTGTAATTTGCTTTAATGCATGGTGTCATGTTGTGCTCAAGTAGAAGGTCCTGGTGTGGTGTGTGCATATGTTGACTCAATTTCCAAATAATTTTCATACTATTTGGTGTTTAGCTATAAGTCAAGAGTTCAATTTTCTTGTAGAGTTAAATCAAAACAAAGAAATTACAGGGACTAAAAACCACTGAAGCGTAATTAGGCTAGGATTTCTGTAAACTTTTAACGAGTTCCAACAAAAAAAAAAACAAAATTAAAGGTTAAATGTAAAGTATATTTCTTGTTTAATTACAAAGGATTATAAAAAAGTTTTCTTAATTATTATATCTATTTTAATATATTTAAGACACAATTTCATTTTTGACCTTTTTCGTTAAGTTCTTATATACATTAAATAAATCTCAGTGTATATTTTTTTAAAGGTAAAACATTAACCCTTTTTTATACTTATAGCAAACAAAATATGCTCCTAAGCCATCGCAGATGAATACTAAACGTTAGTTTACAATTTTTTCATAATAAAAAAAAAACAAAAATTATATGAAAAAATATTGATTTTTAAAACCATAATCCAAACCAGCATCAGAAACCAAAATTTAAAATGTCAGATTTTTGACCTTAAAAGTTTTGATTTCAAAAAGGAACAAAATCATAAAAAGTATGAAAAAGGGAAACCACATAGATTTCAATGAATTCATTTTGTTTGTTGAAAAGGATAAAAACAGATGGAAAGCATTGAAATGCACAAAATTTAGTTTTGGTAACGAAATCAGAATGGTTTTGCAAAAATGGAATGGTTTTGCATGGAATAAGAATAAAGGGGAACTCACTCATTCATATAATCTGCCATGTGATACACAGATTTTAAAATTGAAAAAGTATTTTTTTTCATTAGAGTGAGGTAAAATTTTTAGGGTTTCTTAACCAAAAAAAAAAAATATATATAAATAAATAATATTCAAAGCTATTGTGTGAAAAAAGACAAATTAAAATAAATTTAAAAAAAATTCCTAAAGTTATTTAAATAGAATTTAAAAATATTATTAGTATAAAGTCAGATTCAAAACGGCTTTTTAGCTAATTGAGGAGGACTCGTCCTCCCTCCACCCTAACTAACTAACTAACTATAAAATCAGATACTCTAACTTTAAAAAACTAAAAATAAACATTACAATACAATTAATTAATTTTTGTTGTACGCGATTTTTTGACCAAACACGGCATCGCTCAGACACCATATTCGCCAAATCTGGATCCGTGCGTCTTTTCCCTGTTCCCGAAACTCAAATTAGCCCTTCGAGATAAGCGTATTGAGTCAATTGAATCGGTAAAAGAGAATTCGCTGAATGAACTAAAAGCCATACCTTCACGGGTCTACGAAAAGTGTATGGAAGATTGGATTAAGTGTTGGCATATGTGTATCGCTTCAGAAGGATTCAGATTTAAATTTGTGTGTTTTATTTACAAAATCCGAATACTTTTTAAGCAGAAGATAGATGTTTGTTTTAGTTTACTCCTTCAGACTAGTTAGATTGTCGGTAAACTATACTAAAGTTACACTAGCTATATATGAGTATAGAAAAGAGGTTATTGAATTATTTTTAGTTGATATTTTTAAGTTGTAGAAAGTTATTGGTATATAAGTAACCTAAGTATTTATTATCTAAATTTGAATATTAAACTTTTTTCATATATATGTTTTTTGGTATTCAATGCTATATATTTTTATTCAACGCTTTTTAAAGTTTCCTTTATACGTATTGGGATCAAACACTCAAATACCATGTAAGTTTAATGTGTTAATATTGTTATTTAATAATTATTATTAATTATTTAATAATTTTTTAAATTAGAAATTTCTAATTATTTCATTAGAGATTCAAAGCTTTAATGAATTTAATTAATATATCATATCAGATATTATTCCTCACAGGTCGTCCAGCCCGACTTTGTAACTGTTTAATAATTATTAGCTATACTTTGTTGGTGGCTTTGGATCTTTGGATTTTATATAATTGCATTAAAGGGTTAATATATTTTAAGACAAATTTGTTAAAAAAATCATATTACGTAGATGCAATGAAATTTATGTTATTGCTTAATATTTAATAAAAATAAATAAATTTGTGGTTAACTAATAATTACATATTTGCAGCAAAATTAATATACAATTTAAAGAGGATTTATTTTTTACAAAGAAGATTTTAATAAGAAAAATGTCGACATTACGAGCTGCATATTCTGCAAATTCAAAAGCGAATAAATTTTTAAATTCGAGTAATGCGAAAATTGAAATAAAATTTCTGAGATATTATTCACCAGATGAAAAAAAACAATTGGTTAGATATTATATTTAAATAATTTTTATAATCAATTAAATATGCTCTTGTCCAATTTGGCAGAAAGGCATTGTGATTGGTTTATATGAGAAAGAAGATGATAAAGGACCAAAACTCACAACGAGCGCCGAGAAATTTGATGATCGAGTTCAAGGAAAAATATCGGAACTTGTCAAAGAGTAAGTGTAGTTGATATATCATATTTTTTATATATTTTATTATAGTCAAACAGAACAAATGACGCTCAGTGACATTATAACACTGCACCCCTTACTCAAAGATACAGTAGGTTGTAGAAGCGATCCAAAGGGATCGTTTCCAAGTTATCGTGATGTCCAAGTTTTATCATTAGTATTACTTACATTTTATTCTGAACTATAGATACTCATATAAAAGCCTTACAAATCAATCTTATGATAATATTAATTATATATTTATCCGAATGATCACCACAATAATTAGAATCCCCTAAGACCACATTTTTATAATATATATTGAAACACAATTCTTGTAATTTTAAAACAGATATAATCTGTCTGGAAAGGTAGGCAGATATAAAATTTTTAATAATATTGATCCAGAATATCGTTCTGCAATTGTTGTCGGTTGCGGCCGTGAAGATATCGGTTTTAATGAATTAGAATTTATAGACGAAGGAATGGTGAGATCAAAATACATGAACCACATCAACTGAATTATTTAAATATTATTATTGTAGGAGAATGTGCGTGTAGCTGCAGGCATTGGAGCACGACGTTTACAAGCATTGGATATGACAGAAGTTCATATTGACTCTATGGAATATCCCGAGCAAGCTGCTGAAGGTGCATCTTTAGGTATATGGCGATATCAAGAATATAGAAATAAAAAAGACAGAGAAGGCTTACCAAAGCTAGAACTTTATGATTCACCTGACGTGGATGCTTGGACGCGAGGCTTATTTAAATCAGAGGCACAAAATTTAGCTCGACGCTTAAGTGACACACCAGCTAACCAAATGACTCCTACCACCTTCGCGCAATCAGCGGTTGATGCGTTATGTCCATGTGGTGCATCTGTTGAGATACGCACAATGGATTGGCTTGAACAGCAGCAAATTAATTCATTTTTAATGATAGCGAAGGGTTCATGTGAACCTCCGGTGATGTTAGAAATTCAATACTGTGGCACTTCACCAGATGATAAACCAATTATGCTACTTGGTAAAGGAATAACCTTTAATAGGTAAGTTAAAGGCAAATAAAAGTAGACCAAAAATTGCTAACTATAATTTATGCTTTCAGTGGAGGAATAAATCTACGTCATCCGAATGGTATGGACGAATATCGAGGTTCAATGGCTGGTGCAGCTGTTGTATTAGCAACAATGCGTGCAGCTGCAGCACTTTCTTTACCCATAAATATTAGTGCAATAATTCCATTATGTGAAAATATGCCGTCAGGCATGTCAGTAAAACCTGGCGACATTGTGACGCTGCTAAATAGAAAAACTATGGCCGTACGGGTAATGTCTTCATTATATTAAAGGTTTTAGTATATTTCTTAAATGTCTTAATTAAAAGGATGTAGATAAAGCTGGAGTTGTCGTTATGGCTGATCCAATGCTTTATGGGCAAAGTCAATACAAGCCGCGCTTAGTAATTGATGTTGCCACACTCAGTTATGGCGTTCAGAAGACATTAGGAGGTGGCGCTACGGCTATATTCTCTAATTCGCATTATATTTGGAAGCAATTCCAAAAAGCTGGCTCTCTAACTGGTGACAGAATGTGGCGATTTCCGTTATGGCGTTTTTATAAAAAACTTGTAACCGGTAAAATTAAATATATTAAAGAAAAGACAATATTTTAAAATTTATTTGTTTTATAGAGCATGTTAGTTTCGATATAAGCAATAATGGTAGTGGGCCTGCGTCAGGCTGTCTGGCAGCTGCTATATTAAATGTAAGTTAAGTAAAACAATTAATCAATTTCAACATTAATAAAAATTTTTTTGATGATTTAGGAGCTAGTGCCATGCGTAGACTGGGCTCATTTAGATATAAGGGGCGTGGGCATGTTATCACGTTTTGGTGTGATACCTTATCTGCGAAAAGATCGTATGACCGGTCGTCCAACGCGCACGCTTATACAATTCTTATATCAAATGGCTTGTCCAGATAAACAAAAAACAATGTGAAAAAATTACAGATGTTTATAGATACAATTTTACTTTATCTATTATATATTTTTAATAAATTCCAATCATAAAATTGGATTAAAAAACATGACTTCTTGTTTTTATGTTATTCGAGATATTTAATAAAATATTTAAAGCACATGGGCGTAGAGTCCATGTTTTTACTTTACTTAGCCCTACTTTCTCAATACATAATAGCAGTTTTTTGATTTTACCGGGCATTTGAAACAGAACAGTCAGTGCTACAGCCTGCAGTATAACAAGGGATAACATATAAAAAAATTTTTTTGTTGCCTGTTTTTGCAATTCACTGAAATTTGTATATTGTATTATAAAGGTATGTGCAACCTCAAATCCCACTCCCAATACGCATCTTCACAGTACATACTTTGCGGCCTTGCTTCCTTATTGTATAACCTCCTGATACTATTAGAGATGATTTTCAATTTATATGAGTGTAGTATAACCTATAATAGTCTATTAGAATTTATATTAGATTTCTTAATTCTCTTCGTTAAGTTGAAATAGTTATTGTATTTCGTTTGAAGGATATGATTAGAGATTTGGAGTGTCATAAATTCGATAATTTTATGCATTATAGTTTATTTTTGTGGGCTAGGAAAAAAATGCGTTCCTTTCCTAGGCTACAGTGCTTAGTGTATGAGAAAATATCCTGGCAAATTTGCTTGCTTTTTCATTACCTTCAATATCAACATATAACAGAATCCATATAATTCATACCTGATTCTTTGGAGCATCTTTTTTCAAATTTTCCAGTTAGATCTCACCTGTTGTTTAAAGAGTGTAATTATTCCTCGGTTTCTGTAGTTATATTAGGGTTTAAAGATTTACATAGCGTTTCGAGTATCCTATTTCTGCTCTAAGTATTTCTAACTGACATTTGAGCAGGACATAAAGTTATTATATACAGCACATATTTTCCAGCGATTTTTTATGTCAGGGTAAAACCAAGAATTGAAGGCATTCTAAAGCCATTAAAGATTTGGCTTTAATTTTTATTAAATACAAATTATTTCCTACATTTATTATATTAAAATTAAATAAAAAAATTAGGTTAAAATATTTTTTGTTAATTTATTATAATAATAAATTTATTTTTCTAAAACCAATTACTTTCATCACATTTTTTAAATTATGCTTGGTAAATCTATGTTTTAATGAAGGTATTTATGTAAATATTTTCCCTGCTATGTTTTAATAAAATTTTACAATTTTAATTAGTTTGTCACTTTAATGACATCGAAGGTTGAAAATATGAAAAATTAATTAAATTAAATATTAAAATTACATTATATGCGGAGCAGTTGTGAACACAAAAGCGGTGGTTCTGACATTAATTGCCTTGATTTTTAAAATGGCGGTGATAGTTTCCGGTTTCAGCGGATATTCATGCGTTGTATTTTTGGATTATTTATGCAATGTGGCAGTGAACTATGTCAATGAGTGGTCATCGTTGCGAAATAAATTATTTAATGCATTTAATAATTTATTTATTACACACTTCGGATTAATCAGTTTATAATAATAAATATTTTGAATTTACATGATAATTAAAACAACTTTTTTTTCTTAAAACTAATATAAATTTCAACAATTTACATTGTTTTATGAAAATGAGAAATTGAATTATTTTACATACTACATAATACAACAATAGTTTTAGCATAAAGCTAAAGGATAATTGAATTATAGTCCCTTTTGAAGACTGTGTCTCCACCATTGAGCAAGTCCGCTACTTGCCAATAAAGGCCCATATCTTAACAACCTTCTGAGGACGTTCTGTTTTGCTGTCTGGTTAGCAGTTAATTTTTACCTCACTTGCGAATATAAAAATGGATACTTTCCTCTTTGGTTGTGTCCTCTGATTGTAGCAGTGGAGCTTAATATGCCTAACATACAATAATGAAAAGAAACTTATTTTCCAAATGAATAAAATTAATTTAAAGAATCAAAATGCTTTGCTCATTAAAGTTTATTAAAAAATTCTTTAAAATGTCTATTTCTGTTTTTTTTTTGTTTAAAAACAGTTTTGTTTGAAATACCACCACACCTAAGCCATTACTTAAAACCATATTTTTTATCAATTATTATACACAATTATTACTGAAAAGCATCTGTTTTTTCACATACTTCAGATGAGTGCGATTTCGGCGTATATAAAAAATCAAAGATATATTTTTAATTTGGTTAATTTATTATTCCTAATTATTTTCATAAAAATTTTTCCAAATTGTTTGATGAATTGAATTGATTATTTATTACATTCGAAGAGAATGTGTGTGAATAATAAATACATATTTTCTATCTGAAATCAAACAGAATATATTTTGTAGTTGCATTAATATAAAATCGAAAAATAAAATAACATTAAAAAGTTGAATACTTTAAAATAATAAATAAAAACTAAATTGTTTCTATTGTCTGAAAAATTCACAAACATAAATTTAAAATATATATTAATTAGTTATTTAGTCAATATTAATGTTATTTTACTCTGAGATGTTCATTAATATTCAAAACTGCTTGAACTTTGTACATTCACTAATTAATAACTAAAACTAATTAATTTTAATTAGTAATGCAATTTATTGCTAATAAGTATATTGTATTTATCTTTAATTTGAATAGGGAAAACTCTACGTACAAAATTTAAAAAGCTTTAGATAACATTAATAATATAAAGTAGATTGCTTTTGTGGTATGTGTGGAAAATTATAGTATTTATGTTAATTATATAGTACAAACTATAGTACTGTATAATTAATTACCATATTGCTATATGTGTTTCACTTAATTTGATAAAATATATTGTTTTATTCTCTATTCTTAGATTCAACATCTAAGAACAACTTTACTGGTACCTTAAACCTTGTATATAGATACATTTTATTGTTAATATAACATATATCTGACATATCATCTGGTTAAAGATAAAAAGCTTTTCAAACAAGAAAATGGACAAGCGTAAAATATTAATAACTTTTGTCAAAATTCCATGGTGTATATCGAACGATATTCATCAGGACCTTAAAATACCTTTTGTAAAGCGGTAAATTTGTAAATCCATCTAACTGAGAGTCTACGGAATAATACCTGGTCTTTGAGAGAAATGAATAGATTACAGATTTGAGAATCATATAAGACTTTCTCTAAAAACTATTTAAGATGTTATAGTCTAAAAACGCAATTGTGTGACACCTTCATTATTTTTATCTTTTATCTATATTAGCAGTGATAATACCGTATTTCCATATAAGATTTTATCGCAATCTGCTAGCTAGTATGTTAATATCATCAGTTTTTGCAATCATATTTTTGAGTGTCTTGCAGTGACATAAAGCAATCATTGTGTAAGAATTTTTGGAAGCAGATACTTGAGAAAGTTTCATCAAGCACTAAAGGTACTAGGTATTGGCTCTAATTAAAAAAATATCAGTTCAAGGAAAGCATACCAAGTCAATTGAAAAGATAAAAGATTTCTTATTTGATAAAAAAATGTTCACTGAAAAAATCAAATCAAAGGATATACTTTAATCAGTCTTTGAAATATATATGCTTTTTAGTGAACAAAATAAATTGATGATTTATACCAGGGCTGTCCAGATCAGATGCGATCGCAAGCCAATACAAAACACTTTAAAGATTGGTGGGCCACAGAAGCAATCACATACATTCATAGTTGTTTTTGAAAAAATAAAAATACGGTTATAATGTTAAATTTAATTTTATTAATTTATTAATTTATTAATTTAAATTTATTGTTTTGGTATACCATAAAAATAAAATAATGCAGTTTTACCAGTACACCAAAAGAAAATTTGCGTAATTGTGGTAGATTAAAAATATGTCTCGGGTCGCACAACCATTATCCGCGGGCCGTGCTTTGGACAGCCCTGATTTATACAATCAATACTGATTGATGGTTGTTTAGTGTCCTGTTTACTAATCCCGGATACTTTCAACATAGAATAAATTTATGACAATTGATCATATTTAATAAAAACCAATTTTTTCTAATTGGTGTTCTTTCAAAAAATTTACTAATTACTATATAAACAGACTGCAAATGAGGTAATTTAAGCAAACAAGATTTTTAACTACAACAATGTTTTTAAACTCCTTTTTGCTTACGAAAAGTTTGTTTATATACTTTACAATATTTACAACTAATTATAGAAAACCTGTAATATTATTTCTCAACGTGTTTAAAAATGAAAGTATTTTATGCTTAATTAAATTAAGACGCCATATTGTAAACTATTTTTCTTCGTAATTAATGCAGTAGAATGTCATTTTCCTTTATAATCATTAACAACAGCTGCCATTTTTAGTTATTCGACATGAGGAAACATTTAAAAATAGACTCTCCCCTCCACTAATGATAATATCCAGCAAGGCAGATAAGAATTAATTTGTAAGGAGTAGGTAATAAGTACCAGTAGCCAGTAGGGAAAATCCAAACTATGCCACACGCAACACGCTGCATACCACAAACTTCAGCATTTATAGCTACAAATACAGAAAGTCTATCAAATACCAAAATATCCACAAATTATATATGCGAGGACAAGTTATTTTCTCTGAAGGCAGTCAATAAACAAATAAATATTTGTATTGTTACTTGTGCCTTGTATTTTGGGCCTTGTTTGAGGCGCATAACATATTGAGCAAACTGCCACTAATGACCTGCTGCACAGGAAGGAGCTTGTCCTAGCACCGCAAAGTAAACTACTTCAGCTGTGAGCAGGTCGTTCAAGATAAAAATAACTTAAAAAATTAGTGAATTAGTGGATTAATTGAAATGTTAGCTGTCATTTGTGACTAACAAAATTAAGTTAAGTAAAGCACAGCAGCTGTAATTAAAAAGAAATTAGTCGATGTCCAATGTGGGCCTGTGATTTGTGGAAACTTAATGATTTCTGGCAGCAGATGTCGACTTTGGATTCGAAATTAAAATGTTTGTCACTAGTTTGCATAACACGAACTATTCCAAGGTACAAAACATTGAGTTGTCCAAAGAAATGAAAAGGAGAGGA